TCATTTCAAAGGGGAGCTGGGGATTGGCACCATCCTTATTAAAACCACTCACTCACACCTCATTTTACCTTCCCACTGGAGATGATTTAGCTTGATTTATTCTAATTAGTTGTAATTTATTGTTTTAATGAGCTCTTCTGCAGGCTTTTTGTGCTTCATAACCACCCTCCTTGGCTGCTACAATGCATTTCAAGGAGGTCTTTTAATAAGGAAAGGTTTCCAAGGCTGCCTCAGATAGGGAGGTTTTTGTTGGAGTAGGAAAGGATCAAAATTAAGGCAGAATTCCCCTCTCCTCCAGGATGGGTTTGCTGGGGAGCATCTGGCTGGGAGCAGGAGGCTGCCCCTCAGCACTTGACCCACATGGCAAGAGTCTCCTTAATTATCAGCAGCACTTGCAACTGGGTTTAAAGACTGACAAAAGAAAACAAATAGGAGAAAACTCTCCTTCCTCTGGCTGCAGCTCTGGAGCAGGGAATTGGGGCCTGGAGGGTGCTGCTGCCCAGAGGCAGCTGCAGTTCCATGGATCAGTCAGGGATGCTCAACACCAGGGTCACCCAGGAGGGTCTGTGCTGCTGGGGGGGCCAGGACACGATGCCATAATCAGAATTAATTCACCCACAGAGATCTCTCCTCCCCTTCCCTCTGCTGGGGTGGGTGAAGCTGCAGGAACTTCATGAGCTGCTCCCAGGGGTGGCTGGGACATTTCGTGGCTTTCCAGCCTTCAATTTGGAAGGGAGAGAAAGGCCATCTGGTCAGGTGGGTTATTTCTGTGACATTGGGTTCTTCCATTAGAAAAAAAAGTAAGTTTTTGCTTCTCTGTCCCCACGGACATCACGTGGCCAAATTCCCTTTGGAGACATCCAAAATAAAGCAGATGAGATTTGCTTTGCAAGTAGAGACAAAAACTTCATGAAAGCAAAACCTCCAAAGGGGGAGAAACTCCCAAAGAGAGAAACGTGAAAACCCCCAAATGGCTTCAGCTGCAGCAGAGAAACACCTGGGTGCTTGCAGGATATTTTCTCAGGGAAAAGGGACTGGCTTGAACTGAAGCAGCTGATATTTGTGTGAGAAATTGTGAGAAACCCTTGGGGAGCCAGGGATGCTCCAGAGGGCCCTGGGAAGGGAAAATCTCCTGGAAGTGTCACAGCAGATCCCCCGTGCAAACCCAGATGGAGCCGCTGCATGAGCAGGAACGGAGCCAGGGGAGAGCCTGGAGAGCTGCACGTGGCCTGGGGGGCTCTGCAGCCCCAGGGACTGAGGAGGAGGAGGATGGAGGAAGCCAGGCTGGGCTCCTGCGTGTGCAGAGGCTCCCAGAGGGGCTGGAAAGCACAAACAGCCCCATGAAACAACAAAGGGTCTCTGTGGGCACCCCAGGACCCCACAGCAAGATCCAACAGGGAGCAATGAGACATCAAGGGTGTGCCAGTCCATGAGTTAGTGATGGTGATGCTCCCCAGAGCAGGGATGGGCACAGCTCTGCCCAGCCACAGGGGCTGGGCAGCTGGAAAATCAGATGAACCCTGTTCTAAGGGAAGGGATTGGGTCTCTGGAGGTGCCTGGTGGATCTGGACAGCTCTGGAGCTTCTTGTGGATTATTTACCCAGCTCCACACGCTGCCAACCAAAATAAATCAATTCAGCTTTTGCTTCCATTTTAGGAAAATGAATCCTCTGGGACAGGCTGGGAGCTGGTGCCCTGCTGGGAGCCACGTGCTCCCCATCCCAGCCCTGGTGGGGTGCAAGCAGGACTCAGAGCCCCTCGGGCCCCCTGCCCCATGTCCCTGCCTTGCTGGAGACAGACAGCAGGACACAGGCAGGAGCTTTCCTGAGCCTCCTGCCACCCTGCAGAGTCCTCCCACGGCTTGGGTGACCTTTTCCTTATCTACTCATGTCCTTCAGCCCCTCACAGCAGCAGCAGCAGGTCCTGCAAGGGCAGTTTCCCATGATGTAGCCCCTTATCTCATGGTGCTGAGCCCTCCCCACCAGCCCATTCCAGCCCTGTGCTGGCAGCACTGGGAATCACCCGCTTGTGCTGCAGGAGGGATCACCAAAAATTTAACCCAAACCACAAAAGCTGCATGGACCACACACATCTCCCTCCAGCTGCCCAGGAGAGCTTTGCTGGGACCCCTCAGAGGGAACCTTGCAAGCTCATGGTCCTGGGATGCACCAGGAGCTGCTGAGTTTCCTCCTCAGCCCCAAGCCCAGAATTGCTCTCCTGGAACAGGCACACTCTCCTTTCTCTCAGCCCATCAGTTACAAGTTGTCCAGCATTCAAACTACTTAATCCCAGCAGCTCTTTCAGATCTGTTTGTGTATTTGATCAGAACTGGCTTCTAAGAAAGAAAATAAAATAACAAAATCTTCCAAGCGCCTGTTCCTGTCTCCTCCCCATGCAGGATGCTGTGTTGGCAGCATTGGTGCTGCTCCAAGAGCAGCATGGGAAAGGCCACGTTGGGATGGTTCCTCTGTCTCCTTCAGCAGTGAAAATCATTTGGATGATGTGGGTATTGGTGAGTCTAAAAAGGGAGCACTGTCCCCCTGGAATGAGGGACAGGGCTGGGCTGCCCCATGCAGTGTGAATTGCTGATAATCACAGCCCTGCCCTTTCTGCCTTGAGTGAGAGAGGTCCCAAAATGTAGAGCCAGGGTCTCAGCCCCTCCTGGGCCCCCTCAGGCAGCCCCAGGGTCAGACCCACCCATGGGATGCCCTCAGTCACCGCCTGTCCTTTAGAGCTGTTCTAAGCCAGGAGCCACGATGTGTTCTGACACACCCGATGGGCTGAGCTGCTCCAAACCCACAGATGTGATATCACTGCACAGAGGCCTCCACTGCTCAGTGCTGTGGGGCTGGAGGCTCCAAACCCACACCTCACACACGAGGGAGGGTGAGCAAACTGCTCCCAGTGCCCACAGCCCCAGCTCTGCTCCCCTGGAGCCCCAGAAAGGCACAGATCCCACCCCTCTCCTCAGACACAGGGAGAGGCTGCTGCAGGAGTGCCCCAGTGTTTCCAAACCAATTCTTGCATTTTGTCCCAGTGTTTCCAAACCAATTTTTGCATTTGCAGAAACGCCACCAGGGATTACTTGTTTAAAACCTCCTTTGCAGGGCTAATCAGATCATACTTGAAAAGAGCCTCAGGATCTGCAGTTACAATTATTTCATTAGGATGTGATGCTCCAGACCATCCAGGAGCTTGGGAAGCTGCTGTTTGCACAGGCCCAAGCATGCTGCCCAGGGAAGAGGTCCTTAGTGCTAATTGCCAATGCCAACCCCAGCCATTAGGAAATTATTGCTAATGCAGCTGACAACAGCTTTTATAAGACTCTATTAAGGAATTCATCAGAAAGCAGAACCAAATAAAGCAAAAAGCTATTAAAGAAAAACAAAACTCACCCCCAAACTGCAGGATCAGCAGGAACAAGAAGCAGGAGCTGTTGTGTGAGTGCAGCAGCCCCAGAGCTGAGCCTGGGGCTCCCTTTGTCCCAGCACTGGTGTTGCATCAGCCTGGGGCCCTCCCGAAATACCCTGGGATGGGAGAGGGGCTCAGCTGTAGCTCTTTCCCCCCTGGCAGCTCCCTGTGGAGTCACAGCTGGTCCCCTGCACCTGCAGCCCTGCTCAGGGAACCAGACAGGGGTGCAGGGCCAGGAGATGGGTGCAGGGACCTCCAGCCCAGTGCTGGGCCTGAGCGTGTCCCCAGGAACCCCTGGGGTCCTTCTGGGAAAGGGGAAAACACCGAGGTTGGGCCTGGGGATATTTTTTCAAAAGCCTGATAAAAATAACTCTCTGAAGGGGTGAGGAAGAGGAAGGACAATTTGTGCTGGAGAGGAGGTGTCACCCACAGGGCCTGATAGCTCCAAGTGGCACAAGGACACAGGGCTGGAGCAGTGACTCATGACGTTTTGGCGTTCCATGCCGCTGTGGGTATCGCATTTCGGGGATTATATTTTATTCATAAAAATTGCTGTGCTCACAGCCCTGCCTGGCAGAGCCACAGAGGCTGAGCTGGGGGCTGGCTCTGCTCTGCACCATCAGGGGGTCCCAGCTCTGGAGCAGCTGCTGGGTGTTAAATGCATTCTGCACAGCTGGGTGAGAGTGCCCAGGTTCCCCTGCTCGACCTGGCCCGTGGGCGCCTTGGTGGCACGAGGTGCTGGGCCAGGGTTTGCAGCACGTGGTGGGTGTTGTTGGTAACCACCTCCCAGAGGAGCCACAGCAAACATGTGAGGCTGTATTTTTAACTCTGAGGTCCTGCTGACATGGAAAACTGGGTGCCTGGCCCAGGTGCTGCACAGATTGATGGAAAATTTCCTGCCTCCCATCAGCAGCTGGGCTTTGCTAAGCCAGGCACTGCAGTGGGTGAGCAAATGGGGCTCTGCCCCAGGAATGGCTTTAGGGCTGTGCCCAGAACCCAGCAGACACCATTTGGAAAGTGCTTTCTCTGCAGGTGGGAAGCTGGCATGGTGGGATGGATGTGGGGATGGGGCAAACCCAACTTTCCCAACTCACAGCCTGGTTTGGCATCCCCAAGCAGGAAGAACATTTTCAACCCCCTGAGGCCAGGATGAGCCCATGGTCCTTGCCAGGCCCTCATTGGTGCAGGCATCCCACACATCTCTCTTGTCCTTGCCTTCATAGGGATAACCTGTGCCAAGCTGGGAGGTGGCACACGGTGACATTCCCCTTGTCCCCACCACCCTCCCACAGCCCTGTGCTCACCCCACCGGCTCAGCTGAGACAAGCAGAGGCTAAGAACATCAACTGGGTTTTATTCCTCAGGTCTGACAAGTAAAAGCACAAATTCTCTTTGGAAATAAGGGAAAAAAAAAAACCAACACCAAAACCCCAAACCAACGTTCAAAGCACGCAGACCGTTTCTCAGGATGGAGGCCACGCCGCCACACGCGTGTCCTTCCAGAGATGTAGTTTAAAAAAAAAAAAAAACACCAACTCATGGAGGAGGAAAGACACAGAGCTACAGGTTTCCATGTCAATTTTAAAGAAAAAAAAAAAAACAGGCCCTTTTTTTTGCTATTGTATTATAAATATCCCATCCGAGCGACTCGGAACAAACAATAACCATAAGGAGGAGCATCCTTTCTGCTTGGCCCCGCGGGCACAACATCTCTAGCGGCACTCAGGGCGCCAGAAGCCCTCGGGGGCGGTGGGCTGGCACCCGGTGCGTGCCCCGGCTCTCGGCGGGGGTGGCGGGTGCTGCCATCATCCCTGCGAGCCAGCGGCACCCGTCACCCTTGCCCGAGGCTGTCAGGATGCCGCAGGGAGCGGGGGAAGGGGAAGGGGACAACGGGACGGGGGTGCCGGGGGTGCCGGCTCAGGTGCAGGTGGCCTCCTGGCTCTCGACGGGGATCTCGCTGCCGCCGCTGCCCTCGCCGTACTGCTGGTAGGGGGGGATCTGGGGCGCCTCGATGATCAGCAGCCCCTCCGGGGACAAGGAGGCGAACACCGTGATGGGATCCACCTCGTAGGGCAGCCTGCAGGGGGGCAGGAGAGACAAGGATGGGTTAGGATGCTGCATCCCCGGTGCATCCCGACCCTCGGAGCCCCAGCGGGGCCGGCAGCAGCCCCGGCAAAGCCTCTGTTATTATTGCTGGAGCGCCTGGGAATGTGCGGGGGATATTTGGAGCGGGCTCCTGGCCCCGCGGGAGCTCTGTTTAATCTCCCGGCAGATGTGTTTGACGGGATGTCAGCGCCGCGCGGGGCACGAGTAAATCCCGGCCAGCCTTGCCCGTAAAAGGAGCCCGAGCGCCCGGCAGCAGCGAGCCCCAGCCTCCCCGCGGGAGCCCGGGACGCACAGCGCTCCTCCAGGCTGGAAAAGAAAAGCGGAGCCGCTGCCAGCCGAGGAAACCCTTCCCATGCCCTGGGCTCCGATGCTTTTCGCTGCTCACCCGGTGCGAGCCCGGCGGGTGGGACCTGCCCCCCGCATCGGTCGGGGCTCGCCTTCGCGGTGCTGTTGCCAAAGCGAGCCGCGGGTGAGTCACGGCGATAGCGATCGCTCTGACATCATGGGGATGCGGGGATGTGCCGGGATGTGCTCCGGGGCTGGCGGGGGATGGAGCCCGCCCGCCGTGCCCGCTGCTCCCGGGCTCGCCTCCTCCCCGCTCCCCTCCTGTCCGCACCCCCGGGCATGGAGAACACTGACAGAGCCTCAAAAAAGGCCTCCTCCTCCTCCTCTCTTTCCCTTGGCAAATCACCCCGTGTCCCGGGCCGGCCAGGCAGGTGCTGCAGAGGAGCAGATTTTGGGATGGAACAGTCCCTGCGTGTGTGAGCTGGGGCACGGGCACTGGCAGAGCTCGGCCGGACCAGCCGGTACCTACTGGATTTTCTTGGTGAAGTTCTTGGAGACGATCCCTCCTTCCACCTGCTGCTCCTCGTGTTTGCCTGCAGGGAAGGCCAACACCCCACATCAGCACCTTATTATTTTTTCCCCAACAAACAACAACAACTAAACCCAACAGGAGAGTTTTCCAAGCAGCTGTTTCCCTGTCTCAGTGCAAACTCTTTCTCTGGGGAGGGCTCAGGAAGCCTCTCCGTGTGGGGCAGGAGATGCTAGACACAGCACAGCCACATTTCCAGTGGAAAACTGGGGTCTCGCAGGCTGCCAAGGGCTGGGGCTTAAGAAAATAAACAAATAATAAAACCATTGTTGGTGGCAGCATCCCCCTTGGCCTCGCCCCCAAGGATGGGTTCCTTTCCACCCCTCTGTCAGGCGGAGGGTCTCTGAAGTTGGAGCATCAGCCAGAGCCTGCCTGGACCCCCCTGAGCTGTGGCTTTCCCCCTGTGCTGCAGTGAGCTCCAAACAAACACTCAGGGCTGTGTTAGGCGGCAGCCCCCAGCCCACCCTGGTGATCCCAGCCCGGAGGACCCAGGGACAATGGGAATGTCAGTGCCAGGCTGATGGGACACTGAGGGCAGTCGCGGGCACCCCAAAAGTGCTGGACCCCACACCGACTGTTCCCGACATTAATTGACTTTTCAGGGATGTGTTTGTGGCCGACCCAGCCAGGCTGGGCTGGGGGCTGTGAGCAGCTGCTCCTTTCCTCCCAGCCTCTCCCTCGGCCCCTTTAAAGGGAATCTCCCTCCGTGCCGACCTCACCCTGGCTATAATTAACCGAGCAGAGCTGGGGCCCCTCTTGGCTGCTGGCTCCGGGTGCTGCCAGCCAGGGCACAAAGCAGGGAGATCTACCCCAAAGGACACGCGTCCTTCCTCATTTTGGCAGCAAACCACCATGGCTTGTGCGCCAGATCCCCCCCCGTGACACCCAAATGTCCCTGGAGATGCCCCAAAGCCCTGCTGCAGCCCTCTCCTGGTCCCAAACAGGGGGTTCTGCCGCCCCCTTAAAACAAAGGCGATTTTGGCACTTTGCAGCAATCCCTTGAGCTGGCACTGCCACCTCCCCGCTGCCCTGGCTCTCACCTGACACCTCGACGTAGCCATCCTTGGTTTTGACGGTGAGCTCCTCGGGTTTGAAGCTGTGCACGTTGACACACACCTTCCAGGGCTCGCGGGGGAAGGGCGCGGGGCTGCGGCTCTCGGGGTACCCCCCGAAGTGGGCGCCGTACGCGGGGGCCATGGGGGGCGTGCGGCCCAGCCCGGCGCGCAGCGGGCCCGGCCAGGTGGTGGTGAGCCGGGGCCGAGCCCAGTCGGGCCAGTCCGCCGTCAGGTCCCCGGGGAAGGGCGACAAGCCGAAGTCATCGTCCAGCAGGCGCGAGGTGAGGCCGGGCTCCCGGAAAGGGTCGCGGAGGCTGCGCCTGCCGGGGTAGTGGCAGGAGAAGGGCAGCTGGCTGTCGGCCATGGCTGCCTTCCGAGGGGTCTGAGCGTGTCCCCGCGGCTCTCACACGCAGCCTCAGCCTCTGTGCGGCCGCTCCTGGCTGCAAACTTCCCCCGGGAGCCTGTCCCGGAGGAGGCGCATCCACGCCGTGGGACGCGGGTGCGCGGGGACGGTGCCTCCTTCCCGGCACCAGGTGAAGGACGAGGAGAAAATCAATTCGGGCTGAATCACCGGGAGCCGGAGGAGCGCAGGAAGGACGGAGGGAGCTCTCTGGCCGCGAGAAAACGCTTCCTGTCTGGCTGCGATCCCAGGACTGGGGAGAGGAAAATAAAACTTCTTGTCAGGAGAGAGAGAAAAAAAAAATAATAAACCCAGATATCCTGAGATTAAAAAGCTTCTCTCTCACTTCTCACTCTCCAGCACTTTATGTGCAACTTTCCCTGCTGCTCCTGGGTGAGAGCTGCAATAAATGCCTGAGCCTGGAGCCCAGAAACTTCTCTAACCTTCCAGCCGTTGGGCGAGTACTATTTATATGGATTTCGGAGGAGGGGGGTGTGTGTTTTGCAAGTCCTGCCCTGTCAGCCGAGTATTTTGGAGAGGATGAAACAGCCGAGGAGAATTTGGGCAGTGGCAGCTGACCTCTGCTGAGGATCCCGGCTGCCACGGGGCCGCGGCGCTTCGGCAGCTGCCCCAGCCCCTGCCGCCCCCTCCTGCTGCTCTGCCCGCCCAAAATAGCCCCCAAGCTCAGCCGGGGCTGGCTGCTTTCACCCCGCTGTCACCTGTTAAAAATACCGCGGTGGGGCTGAGCGAGCTGCTGCCCTCACTGTACAGCCGCGTGTCCCCGGGGCACCGCCGTGCCGGGAAATGGGTCACCCACTGCTGGCACCCCCGGCAGTGGCACCCCAGGGGGGTGTGTGGGCAGTGTTTGGGGCAGGGGCACAGGGTGAGCCTCTCCAGGATGCTTCTCTGGCCATCTTCACCAGCTGGGCCCGGAGAAGTATCCCCTGACTGCAGGAAGGAAATGGACCCCGGGCAGCAGCAGCGCTGCTCAGCACCTGCCTCATCCTCATCCTCATCCTCATCCTCATCCTCATCCTCATCCTCCTCCTCCTCCTCCTCCTCCTCCTCCCGGTCCCGCCGCATGCCCCGGCCCTGCCGCAATCGCGGTGCGGGCAGGGCGAGGCATTAATCACAGCCGCGGCCGGGCCCGTAATTACAGGGCAGCGGCGGTAGCGGGCTGAGAGCTGCGAGCTGTGGGAAGGGGCGCGGCAGCAGCGCTGGAGGGGCAGCTCCGAGCCAGCATCACCGGGGACACGGCCCGAGCCCGGCCACGGGCGGGGAACGGCTGGCACGGACGGGGTCCCCATGGAGGCGGTCCGGGCACGGCTCCGGTGGGCAGCGCTGGAGGATGGGATGTGATCGATGAGGGTGACGTTGGCACTTCCTCATGCCGCATCCTGGCTCTGCATCCTGCTCCTTCTCTCCAGCATCTGCAATTTTTCTAATGGACTCTGTGGAAGTAATTGCAGCTTTAATGCAGCACAGGCCGCTCAGGGATGGAGCCGCTGGTGGCTCCATGGCATCAATCACGCTGGGGACGGGGAGCTGCCTCTCCTTGGCTAGGGCAGGGCTGCCCCCCGAGCATGGGGACACACAGGGGTCTCCCTGGGGTCCGAAGGGATGCCTGGAGGTACCAGCTGAGTACTCCTGGTGTGGGGAGGCAGCTGCAGGTGGAGGGACTGAGCATCCCCGTCCATTCCCTTGTCCTGCCCGGCTGCCTCTGCCTGCCTGGGGACTCCTCGTGCCCATGGGTGACAGTACAGGGGCAGTCCTGGCGGTCACTGTCACACACACCATGAGCTCAGCTGGGCCCAGCTTGGCTGGGGAGCAGGATCGCCCCAGCACCCAGCCCTGCCACCCCCTTGGGCAAACGGCAGCGCACGGGGTGAGATGGACAAGCCCCGAGGAGGTTTCAGGCAGTCCCACGATCCTGCCGTGTTTCCAGGAGCCTCACAACATCCCCCATCCCACATTGCCCACATAGCTCCAGGCCATCCTCCCTCCCCGGCCAGGAATTCTTTCTGTCGCCTTGTTCATCCCCATTAGTCACACGTCCCCTCCTCCCGCCTGCTCTCACCCTCTCTGGGCCATCCCAATTTAGCTCCTGTTGTCATTCCAATCCTCCCGGCTGCCTCCCACCCCGAGCCACCCCACATCAGCTCTGGGAAGCATGGAGTGCCCTTGCAGCCCCCCTTCTCCTCTGGGTTGACACACACCTGGGGATGCTGCCCCGTGTTCCCACCTGTGCCCTGCCCAGACCTTTCCTGGGTGCCATCTGAGCCCTGTTGAGGAGCATGGGGACATGGGGACATGGCCCAGTGCTGCTGCTCCCCTGGGGGAGTTCAGGGTGCTGGAGAGCTCCCACTGCCCCTGGCTGCTGCCCAGAAGGTGACAATGGCAGGACCCTGTGGCATGGGAACCTTGAGGCAGGGAGGGAAGGGCACAGCCCTGAGGAGAGCACTAGTGAGCCCAGTGTGACCTCCAGGGACAGATGGGCACATTTCTGGCGTGGGCTCCCAGTGCCTGAACAGGGTGGGGGGATCCAAGGGCCTGGCAAAGGGCAGCAGGAGCCTGGCCCAGCAGGGAAAGCAGAGCTGCCAGAAATGCTAGCCCACAACTTTTTTTTTGCTTCAGCCAGTGCCCTGAGGAGCCAGTCCTCAGCAGCTGGGAGTGGAGGCACATGCCCTTCCCCGCAGAGCAGCTGAAACAACCCGAAATATCCCACCACACGCACTTGTATGCAAAAGGAACATGATGCAAAGGAAATACTGTCCAAACCTTTATTGGAACCTTTTTCTAACCAGGCTAACAACTCAAACACCCAGGAAGACTAAAGGATACAGAACACATGTGGATGGAGAGCAAGGGGAGCTTTACAGTGAACTCAAACAAACAGATGTGCCGGTGTCGGTGGGGGTGTAATCAACCAACAGGCAGAGAACAGAGGCACCATTTCCCTCGTGGCTTTTCTCACATCTGGGCTTTTGTTGTACATCTTCTGCTCATTCCTGGGGTTTCAAAGGTGGAGAGCTGCCCTGGGCTGGTGAGGGTGTTGTTCTCTAGGCAATAGCCCAAAAGCTGGGGTGCTTGACCATGACACTGTTGTTTTGGAGACCCTCCCAGTCATGTGTAAACTGCCAGGGAGCAGCAAAGTGATGAGAATGATTTATTCTCTGGTGAAGAGGTAATAAAACCCCACTGGACACTAAAGGTCAATGGCTTCCCTTAGGTACCTGAACCTGCCCCTTTCTCAAATACCCCAGGAGCCCGAGGCTGGGCACCCAGCAGCCCCGCACTGGCACTCACTGGCTGGCACTGGAGCTGTGTCCACACTCAGCAGCACAGGCAGCTCTGCCCCAGGAGCACAAACACCTCCCCTGGGTGAGCAGAGCAGTGGCTGCAACCTTGGTGGAGCAATGCTGGGGCAGGGTGGGACTTTTAGCACATCTCATTTTAGCTCTTCTCAAAGCTGGGGGAGGATGCCTGCAGCAAGCTCTGCTCGTGTTGGACACAGCAGGGGAGGCCTCCCAGCGCTGCTGGCTACTGAGCTCACACCAGGGAAAAGCTGCTGGCACAAAGCCTGGGGAAGGGGGCAAAGCAGGGCACCGCACGAGGGTCTCAGGATGGGGCAGGGTGGACATCCTTCCTTCCTGGTGGAGACCATGGCCAGTCACTTCCATCCTATTCCCTTCCTCATCACTGATCCAAAGGGTGACAAGTGTCCCCAACCTCCAGAGGGGAGAGGGGACCAGCAGTGGGAGATCAGAGAACTCCAGGGATTTTTGGTGATGGCAGCCCTGTGCCACATGGCAGAGGAAGAGGAGCAGGGTTATTCCTCCACCAGAGCTGGCCTGTCACCTCTGAATTCCCCACTCCTCTCCAGGGTGATGTCATTTGTCAACAGAAGCTGCTTCAAGGAAATGGAGAGTTTTCCCCTGCCTTGCCCATCTCCATCACAATGAGGTTCCTCTCTAAGTACTGGTGGTGAGGTCCAAAAGAGCCAAATTTACCTTCCTCTCTCCAAATATCTGGCACCACTTCAAAGGCTCCTGCCTTCATGGACCCAACAGCATCACCCAAATAGCTTTTTTTAAGTAATGCTCAATAAATAGAAGAAATAAATATTAAATAGAGGCCAAGTCCCCTCAGCCTGTTCAATATATGTACAATGCATAGCAAAATAACAGTGATTGGCTGTTGCAGACAAGTTTGGTACAAATTCAGTCCCCAAAACAACAAAAACATTGAGAAAATTGCAGTTAACATAAAGCAAAGCTCAGCCGAGTGCCGTAACCAATGAAGAAAGAACAGAACAGTGATTTGAAACATCCCTTGTCTTTGCTTCCCAGCAAACCTGCAGAAATGGTGTTGGATTTTCTGGAGCATGGGGTTGGGAGAGGTGGGACAAACCCAGAGGCAAGGCAGGTGCAGTGAATGGGAGAGTTGATGGCTCCAGGGTCAAGGAGACATTTGGGAGTGAGTGCTGTGACATGGGCTCTGCCAGGAAAAGGCAGCAGGGGTGCTTGTGGGATGATTCAAAATCATCTGGGAAAGAGCCTTTGAGTGTGAGACTCCCAAAAACCAGCCCAGATATTATCCTGATGTTGTGGCCAGCCCTGAACACCCCTTGTGTGCCTGACCACAGCAGCGATTCACCAACACCAAAATGACCCAGCTGCCTTTCCTCCAGGTGAACCTGCCCTTTGCAGACAGCACCTGCAGCAATCTCAGATGTTGGATGCAGAGCAAAAATCCATAAAAGCAGTGAATGAGAGAAACAACTTAAAAAAAAAATTTAAAAAGCACTGGCAAAAGGCACAGAGACAGAAAAACTCACAGCTTCACACAAACCCACAGAAACCCCATCTGTCCACTAACAGGAAGGGTGTACTAAAGCTTGTACTAAAAATATTAAATAAGTTAAAAAATAAATAACACCGAGGGAAACTCACATGTATATGCACATGTGCACACACACACATACACACAGAGCCTTGATCAGATCCGTCACCAGAGGCTGGATTTTGCAAGGACCTTCCGCGGGGATCGCTTTCTCACAGTCTCATCTCCTTTGTTTTCCCATGGGTGGGTCAGCGGGCAGGGATGAACACGGCAGGGCAGTCCTGGCATCCTGGCCGGGAGCGCGGCGGTGGCTGCGGGAGCGGGCGGGTTTCGGGCTGAGCGCTGCCGGCGCAGCCAAGGCAAACAGCGCGGGGCCAGCTGGCTCCCGGCCGCGCCCGCGCAGGCGACACTCCGCTGGTGGCACCGCCAGGCAGACCCTCGCTGTCACCTCCGACACGTCCCAGACCCGTTTCTGCGCTCACACCCATCGCATTCCTGCACGAATCTAACGAGAAACCCGAGATTCCAAGGTGAAAGCGCGCAGCTCTGCCCTGCGTCCCTTCGTGTGTCCCGTGAGAGCCCACAGGGACACGGTGGCAGCAGGAGTGACTGTCACTCCTCCGGCCACCTCACTGAGAGGGGCCACAGCTGTAAACCTTTACACGAGACCGGCGGCATGGATACATTTGAACAAACAAACAGATCCAAAAATAACGTCAGAAAAAAAAGAAAATCAGAATAAATAAATACTGGTCCGTTCTGACATACACTTAAAAATAGAATAATAATAATATTAAATAAATAAATAAATAAATAATTTAGAGAGGTTTACTCCAATGCAAGTCTGCTTGGGAAAACCCTAGGAGCATTTAGCTGCCACGGACTGTACAGGCAGAGGCAGTCCTTGATGGAGGGCTCAGCTGGACGAGTGCAGGAGCTGCCCCACACAACCCCTGGGGTCATCTCCTGACCCACACGGGGTGGGTGCTGCCAACCCTGCTGTGGTGCTTCCATCATCTGTCCCCAGCCACGAAGACTCCAGTCAGTGTGAGTTTGGTATTTACACCAGTTGCACAAAGCCCCTCTTCTTTCTTTTCCTTCCGTGGTTTTGGATCTCCGGGCTGGCTGCTTCCTCCTGCAGCTCCGCGTGTGCGTTATGGGGTGCCAAGGGGCAGGGGGTGCTCCTGAAACACTGGGAGAGCTGGGGAGGTCTGGGATCCCATCACTGCCTTTGGATCTTCCCAGGGAGCAGAAGGATGGGGCATTTCAGCATCAGACTGGGAGAGACTCTTTGGGGAAGAAGCATGAGGTTTTCAGCCCTTTTGAGAGGGAGTTTGCTGCAGAGGGTGGCCAAGGGGCCGCTGCTGGGGCCAGCACAGGAGGCAGGGCAGTGGCATCCTTTCTTTGATCCCTCAACCACAGCCCTTGCTCAGCCTTACCAGGAGCACTTCTCTCTGTATCCTAGAAAGGATCTTTCCAGAGGTTGGACCCATCCCCACTAAGCCACCAACCATACCAGTGCCCAGCTCTCTGCCTCAGCCCCCTCATCCTCACATTGCCTGCAGCAAGCAAGGTGAGGGATGAGGGTCTTGGAAAAGGGGGAGCTTTGGCCATTGAAGGCACAGGACAAGGGGAACCAGCATCAGGAAAGATCCTGGGAAAGAGTCCCTGACATAAAACTTCCTCCTGTACCACCCAGATGGAATCCCTGCCTGTGCTGCTGTACTTTCCAACAGATAACACATTTATAGGCTTGCTGAGGCAATCATCCAGTTCCACCAGAGCAGCTCATGGCACTCAGCCTTCCTCCCCTTGCTGCTTTGTCCCTTTTCCAGCTGCCAGGGGCCTGTAGGTAATTCTGTAGATGGGGGGTGGGTTGCATTCCTCTCTAGCCCCTCTCCTCCTGCAGATGGTGGCTGCACTCAGCCCTTTTCTGTAACACTTAAACAACACGCACCTCCTTGACTCATTAAGCCCAAACTCGTTAATAATCATGCAGGATGGAAGGGGAGGGGATGGAAAAAGGGAGGGAGGGAAGTCTTAAGCCCAAATTAGCGTCTCTAAGCACCCAGGTGTTGTAAGAGAAATAAACTCCTCAGCACCAGCTCAGCCTGTGCTGGGAGAAGCCTTTGTTACCCGGCAAAACACAGTAATTGCACAGGCAGCTGGGCTGGCACGGAGACAAAACCCCAGGGCCCAGGGCAGCCTGTGGCTCCCTGGCAAAACAGGCAACCAGTGGGCGCCCCTCCCGTCCCCCTGCACTGCTCCAGCCTCCCAGTAACAAACTGGGGCACCAGTGCATCCCGCTGCAGCCTGGCACTGGCCCTGCAGCTGCGCTGCTGATGCTGCCCCGGGGCAGCCAGAGGGGCTCAAGGAGGAATTCCAGGATTGCCTGGAATCCTGCTGTGTGTTTTAAGGAAGGGGAATTGGGGTCCCCTGGCTCTTGAAATGCCCTTTTAACCCTGTGTGTTCTGACTGTACCCCACAGCTGCAATCTCTGCACCTCCCTCCGGTCCCACCAGCAATGCATCCAAGGGCAATGCTCCCTGAAGAAGAGCCTAAACCCAACCTGTCTGAGGCTCCCTCCAAGAGGGAAACCCCACAGCTCCTGTCTCCCCTGCGTGGCCCAGCCCTCGGAGCACAGCACGGCACCACCTCCCCTCTGTCTTGTACCCCACCAGCCCCAGGCCTGCTTCAGACCTCAGCAGGTGGTTTGCAAGCAATTCAGTGCTGGGGGGATAAAACAATCCTGCAAAAGGTGCTGCTGCCTGGTAGGAAAGGGCAGAAGAAAGAGCAAACAGGCTTTTTTTTCCCCCCAGGAAGTACATTGGGAGGGATTTCTAGTCTTCTATTTATAGCAGGGACTGGCTGACTGGCAAAAAATAAATATTTTCTCTGCAGAGCGGGCAGCAGCTCTGGAGGAGAGACCCAAAGGACCTGGTATTTGCCTTGGTGGGGAGAACCATCCCCCCAGCCGTCACCGAAGTTTTCCAGCAGACTCCTCCCCAACTGGGTCTGTCTCTCCAGCAGAAGTGAATTTTTGTTGGTTCCTGGTATGTGAGAAGAGCAAGGAGCAGAGTTCTTTCCTTCGGACCGCTGGTAGTGCTTTGGAGAGCAGTAGCAATGGGGAGATGGGAGCATCGGGGAGGATGGAGCAGGTCTGAGCTGACAGACCGTCTCTAAAGCACCGACCCTTCTTCCAGCCTGGCCTGGGGAGCTGGGACGGAGCCACCCGCTCCGCGCTGGGGAGGAGGGGCTGCACCAGGCGCTCCAGGGCTCTTACTCCCGACCGGGGAAGGGGGACCCGGCAGTGCCACCGCGTCAGTATCGGGGATGATTGCTATCGATGGCCAGGTAGGTGGGAAGGAAGCGGAGAATGCCAGGAATGTGGCGGTGACGCCGGCACCCGGTGTCAGCCAGCAGTGGCACTCCCTAACGACGCAGGCTGTCGGAGCTGGCTCCTGAGTCATAGCTCCTGCTCCTGCTGCGGCTGCTCCTGGGGCCCGAGCTCCGGCTGCTGCTCCAGCTTCGGCTCCGGCTCGTCCGGTAGCTGGAGTAGCTGCGGCTGCGGCTCGGGGAGCGGCTGAAGCTGCTGTACCAGGAGGAATAGCTGCCGGCGCTGCTGGACGAGGAGGGGCTGGGACGGTAGTAGGGGATGGGGCGTTTGCGGGCACTGTGGGGACACAGAGATGCGGGTTACCAGCAGCACAAGGACACACTTACTGCCACAATCTCCAAAAAGCACTGTTCACTCTGGGCAATAATCCCAAAAATGTGATTGTGTTTGATTAAAAGGAAAAAGAGATCAGCTAGCTGACGGGCCTTGGGATTCAAACCACCCACCCCCACAGCCCTGGGGAAATCCCAGCCACTCAGTCTACTTGATGTTGTCCCAAAGAGCCCTCTGCATGAAGGGTAGAGTCAATAGTTGACTCTTTCCATTGTGGGACACCTACCACAGGGCAGGGTGAAATAAAAACCTGTGAGGGAATGCTCTTGGCACCTGAGTCCCTGCTCTTAATCTTACTTAATCTTCTTTTTTTCCCTTCAGCTATTGTAAATTGAGACCCTCTCCATCCTCCCTCTGCCTCCAGCTGGAAATGCCCAAGCTCTAGAGGAGGGGTGGAAGGGCCTGCTGATCAGGCTCAGGGAACCCGGTCTCCTGGAGAAACCTCCTCTGGCGAGGGCTGGGACCCAGGGACAGCCCTCATCCCCCCGGGGAGTGCCAGCTGAGCCCTGTCTCCGCGGGACGGGACAGCATCCCCTTGCCTTGTGATGCGCCGGGCTTCCAGGTGGCTGGGAGAGTCTCTCCGGCGTTTCCTCAGGGGGGAGTAGGAGCGGCGCCGCCGCTGCCGCTCCCGGTGCGACTCCTTCTCGCTGGAGCTGTACTTGTGCTCCCGCTCGCGGTCCCTGCGGAGGCACAGCAGGGGATTGTCACTGCAGGGGTTTCGGGGGGGTCAGGGATGGACAGACAATGACAATGGAGGCACAGAAGGGCAGAGGACGCTCAGCTCCAAAAGGGACAACTCTAAGTGCTGTGGTGGTGTCACCTCTGAGCGCTCACACAGCTGGACAAACAGACTGGTACCACTAATTGCATCCAGCAGTGTCTTCCAGTGGCTTTGCACTGCCACCCTAAGATGGCTTCCAGGGCCCTGTGTCAGTGGGTGCAGTGTGTATTTAGCTCCTGCTGGAGCTGGCAGGAGCAGCCCTGCCAGCAGGCCCCACGTGAGCTGAGGGCCTGGTAGCCCTGCAGGGCTCCGCAAGCCTCGCCAGAAGGAGTGCCGGTGTTGCTATGGTTTTCTCTTTTGTTAAATTCCCATACACGTCAGCGCAGGCCCTTCTGTGCAGTGTGGCTGGTTTCATACACCCTGCTCAGTGCCATCTGCAAAGCAACACGCTACAGGTCAAGGGCCTGCCTGATCCCTGCAAGCTGCAAGTGTTCTCCTCACCAGCATGGGGATTGTCAAAGCCTGCAAGAATCGACCCTGGCAATGTACGATCTTGAGGCTGCAAAATGTTCACAGCAGCACAGGTGCTACCGGGAAAACCTGCCAAAGGCATCACTAGGGTTGAACTGGGAGGCTGTTCCCTATGGTGTGTGGAGGGAGTAGAGGTGCTTGGACTGTGGCACCTCAGGGTATCTGGCATCTGCCCTCACAGCAGGGGCCCTTCCATGAGCCTGACAACTCTTTGTCAGAGCTGTGACTCTCAAAAGCAGAGTGTCTTTCCCTGCTGCAATCAGATCCATGTCTGACAGGGCTGCTGGCTGTGTGGGCAGACCCAGCTGGAGCCTCGGGCTCTGCCCACCACCCACAGCAGCACGACAGTGATGGAGGCAGGGAAAGTGTGAGGCAGCAGGTAGCACATGGGTGGACAGCAGATGCCACAGGCAGACAGCTGTACCTGCTACGGCTGTAGCGGGAGTAACTGGGGCTCCGGCGAGGCCTCGAACTTCTACTCCCAGGACTTTTTTTGCAGGATTTGGAGGAATAGCTGGGGGAACGTGAGGAAGACCTGGAGACAGGAAGGAAACATGAAAGAGTTAAAGATGCTGGAGGGTGAGGCTGTACCACACTACTCCAAATGATGAGCGGGTAAAGATGTCCCATTCCCCAGGGTCTCAGCCCAGCTCTGCATGGCCAGTTGTGGATCCCAAACTCTTACACCTCCCCCTGCCAGGAGCCTGCTAGCTGCCAAGAGCTAGCCACTGCCCCGGGTCACAGAGACACCGTTCCAGCTGGCCCTACCTCCTTGCCGAGGAGCAGGACCTGCTTCGGGAGGAGCTGGGCGAGGCCCGGCGGTGCGAGGAGCGGCTGGAGGCGGGGGAGGAGCGGCCCGTGCTGCTGCAGGAGGCGCTGCGGGAGCCGGGCCTGCGCGGAGAGCTGCGCGCCGCTGAGGGCAGCGGGATTCGCTTCTTGTCCTCTGAGGAGCCCAGACATGACGGTAGGCACGCTCTGTGAACAGACATTTGGGCACTTCTTGAAGCTGTGGCTGAACCCCCTGGCTGAGGGGAGCAGCATGCTCCAGCAAATAACATTCCCATCCTTCCATTCCCTAGCTGGTGGTGAAAGGGATCTCTCAGCTCCCCAGGCTGCTGTTGCAGAAGACCCCATGTGTGTGTGTTGGAATCCAAGAGCTCACCCTCCAGGCTCTGCCAGGGAGAAGAGATCTGGAAGAGCACTGTGGCAGCAGCTCATGTGCCCCATGCCCAGCACAGCAGAGGTGTCAGGCTGGCAGAGCCTGGTGGGGCCAGCGAGCAGTGCTGGTGCTGGGCAGGGAGTGAAGTCAAAAGTGCTGGAGCAGGGGAAAGGCAGAGCATGGCAGGGCAAGGGCTGTGCTCCAGCCTGGCTGGGGAGCAGCGTCAGTGGGCACTGAGCAGACCTGTCCTGTTGCCTTTGGACAGCTGCGTGAATTCCTCCTCTTCCTTCTGGAATGAACTGGGGTCAGAGCCCAGCAGCCAGGGCCAGCTGCAATCCCAGCTCCACCCATGTGAAGGCAGAGTTACCCCACTGGAGTCACCGTGTAAAAAGTACAGACAGACCTAAAATTTTACCCTCTGACTGAAAAATGAGGCTTATTCTTACTAAAACCCATTATCCTGGCTCCCACCTGTCACATTCAGTGCTCCAAACCATGTCCTGGCTCTAACTTTCAGCCTTTAGGACCCAAGGGCCTGAGCTGGAAGAACTCCCTACAACCACAGCCTGAGCACAGCCCTGGGTACCAGCTACCACGCTGCAGTGCCCTCATTCCCAACATGCCCTGGCAAAAACCCAGGAATGGGAGCCGGTCATGGAGGCTGGCAGCTACTCCCCTCTCCTGAAGATGACCTGTGGCACTGGGTGGTGGTTGGATGCCCTGTGGCCCCAGTGCAGAGCTGCTGCTGTGTTATCCTGCAGCCAGCCAAGTCCTTGCCCCTCCCTGTGCTCCCCACTGGCAGGAGATGCTATCTTGTCACCCTGGAGCTGTGCTGGATGAGCTGGGAAGAGGAAGGGGCACGCTGGGTTTGGCTCACTGGACAGGAGAAAGAACAGCCCATAATGACGTTAGTGGAAACAAGTCCCTCTTCCCTTCCCCACAGTAGGCAGAGAGGGAGAATTAGCATGGCAACCCCCAGATGCTCCTTTCACATTGTGCCCAGAAGGGCCAGAGACTTTTTTGACATGGCCGTGCCCAGGTGAGCAGGGACGTGCTGTGACCACAGCCTGACCCAGGCCCAAACTCTGCATGAGCCACAGCAATGCCAAAACACTGCCACAAGCAATGTCCAGGGATGTGATGGCTGGGTTTTATCTTCCTCCTCAGGCTACAGAACTGGTCCTTGCTGAGTTCTGGACTCCAGACTGGCAAGACCGTGGGTCTGGTTGGTACCTGCCTGCCTCCAGAGCACACAAAGCTCCCTGCCAGCTCACCACGGCAGCTGGAGCAGGCAGGAGACACAGAGCAACAACGTACCAGCAGCTACTGGTAATCACTGACCTTCGGTCTTGTCCCTGGGCATCTGGAGACAGATTTTCCAAAGCTGTTCCCTTGGTGTGGGAAAAGCAACTGGTGAAGGAATTTCCTGAATCAGAGCTGTTATCGCTGTTGGCCAGTTTGGGCTTCCCGGACGAGAAGGCATGGCCAAAGCCATCATGGACTAGACTTCTTTTCTCCTGGCTGTCCTTTGACCTGGATGAGCTCGTTTGAGTGGAGGGAGGGGAGGAAGTATCGTTTCCTGAGTCATATTCATGATACTCTCCATTCTGGCTGGCTAGGTTGCCAGGCGGGCTGTCTGTTTTGGTAAAGAGGTCAGCAGAAGACCCTGACTGAGAGATCTGAAAGCAAAAAAGCCATTTGGCATTGTTTGAATGGTTTTTGGGGGGGTTGTTTTTGGTTTTACTTTGCTTTTTTTTTTTTTTTTTTTCAAATAAACCCAGAAATTTTACCATCATGATGCACTGAAACAAAAGGAAAGGAAAGAAAAGAAACAAAGTAAGAAAGAAAGAAAAAAAGAAGAAAGGAGAAGAAAACAAAAGCACATATCCCTAAAAGAAATCCACAGTAAGAAGAAACTTATTTTCCCCCTGCTATAATAACGGGAAGATTTAGAGATCATGCAAAGAGTATCAGCATGCGGTTCATGTTAAACAAAAGAGTTCAACAAAGTAAGTGGGCAACCAAAGAATTAAAATAACTAACTAAATAAAAAATGTAACAGAGGACAAAGCCCTTATTTAACCTTAAAAAGGGGAGGAAAATAAAGGGGGTATATACATATAAAAACCCTACATAATCCTTGCAAAGAAAACAAAAATGAAACAAAAACTTAGATGAGTGAATTTTTTCCTTAATAAAGTGGCTGAACCAATGTCACTAAAATAAGCAACAAAAAACCAAATCAAATCAAATTAAGGGCTTCTGTAGAAAGCAAAAACTGGCAAATAAGCTTATCACTTTGAAATTAAAAAAAAAGAAAAAAAATAAAAAGAAAAAAGAGGGTGAGGGGAAAAAAGAAAAATCCCTTTGGAAATAAAAGGTATACAGATATTTCTTTGTGTGCTTTTTACCCCCTGAAGAAGATATAGCTAATGCGCTCAAGTGACCTCTAATAAATTCCCTGGTGTCTTGCGGATAGCATCCACTTACCCATCAAGAACTCCTCCTTTAGTAGGTAAGGTGTAAGAAAAAAGGAAGAGCGGGCAACATAAGTCCATCATTAGAGTCTCAAATTACATGAAAAAAACATAAACCCTCTCTTCAATCCACACTGCCAACTGTTTGCTGCCTCCTCTATGCAAATGTCATGACTGCTTTTTGTCTGCTCGACTGTCTCCCTTATTATTCATTTTTGTTTCCTTCTGCTTTAAATTAGCCTGTCCAGCCCGTTCCTGGAGGCTGATGGCTTGTGCTGAAAGCTGCAGCTTGCACTGAATCCCCCTGAGCTGTATAGAAATGACAAAGGGAACTCAGTGAGGGAAGAAGCAAAAGAATGGAGGAGGAAAAGTGTCCTCACTGTGGGGAAGGGGACAGCAGCCCTGCTCCTGCCAGCCTCTGCAAGGGGGTCCAGCCACACCCTGGCTGGGCTGCTGAGCACAACAAGGCAAGCAAGGACCCCAAACTCACACAGACTGACCTGGGCAGGGCTATTCTCTGGGACCCTGAGCACCACCAAGGGGATTTACATCACTCCAGTATTTTATAGTTCAGTTTTAACTGCACTGGCATTTACCTGAGCCAGCTCAGGCATGTGGCAGCACTGGGAGTGAGGCTGTGCTAGTGCTAACATCTACCCTTGCAATGGGGTGAGAATTAGGGCCCAATGCACACATCTGGACTCTCATGTGGCCTCCTCCTCTTTCACTCAGAGCCTCCACTCTCCTCAAACCCACTCGTGAGGTTTGGTGCAGGGTTCTTAGAGTGGGGACACACAGGTTTGGCTCCCCCCACTCAGGACAGTCCTCCAAACATGTTCCCAGCAAGCCGTGCTCCCTCAAACTCGTGCACATGCCCTCATGCCACACTCTGGGGCACACAATGCCCCGTCTATGCCATGCTCTCCACACCAGGGACCTGGGCCATGCCCTTACCAGTCTGGGACCTTCTGAGCCAAAAAACCACATTGCAATGTTGGTGCTATCTCAGGCAGCAGAGGAGACCTGGATCAGCTGTCACACAGCAGGCACAGGGCCAGTACTTTGGAAAGTTTAGCTCTGGATTGAATGACTTTTTCATCCTCAGAGGGGCTGCAGACTCAGCCTGTGTCATGTTTCACATGGATCTCCTTCATCCTATCAGATGGTGCCTTCATATCCACACTGCTGCCTGTGGCATTCAGTCTGTGTCCCCAGGGAGGGCTGCTCCCGACCCAGTTCAAGGTGCTAGCTGGGACAGGGACAGCTGACTGGGACACAGGTGCTGAACCAGCAGGGACTGAAACCAGAGCAGAGCTACCAACACCCACAGCAGCTCTCAGCACAGTCTGCACAAGGATGGCTGCCCACAACACTCTGCTGCTCTGAAAACACCTGGAGCTGGAGGATCTCCAAGTACTTTCTGTGTTGCCAGGGAGAGAAGCTTTACTGCTTCTGGGAAAAGGGATTGCTTCATCCCAGCATATCCATAATGGAGTTCCCCATCTCCACCCCACACTAGCTTCTAACTGATGCTCAGTCCCAGCTCAGAGGAATCAGAAGCCCCAGTAGCAAACATGGGAAATTAAGTGATCCTTCTTCATTAGCCAACTTGCACCTTCAATGCAGAAGCCCTGGACAGAGCAGAAACGTCTCCCAAACGCTCCCAGCTAGGAATGAGTGGAGACACACATTGCAAGTCCTCATTTCAGCATCTGGAACTGCTCCTTGCTTCTTCTCAGCTCTAGCAATACTCTACAGGTCCTTGCTTACTCCAGCAGAAACTGGAATGTCACAGGAGCCCAAGGGAGCCAAATAGCCAGCTCTGCTTTTCACCAGCTCTGGCTGAAACCCTGATGCCACATCCAGAGCCCCAAGAGATCTGACCTCTGTGCTATGGACCGCTGCCACTCTCCCCAGCCACATTTCAGAATATACAGGATTGCACTTTCAAATACATTACCAGGTATTTTTTCCTTAAAAGAAGGGTTTTGGTTTGCATTTAAGCTGAATCCTAACCCAGAGACAACCAGCTTTACATCACCTTTCACTTACAGGCATAAACAGCCTGTGAGGTACTCCCTGGCTGCAAGGGTAGGATGAGCATGGAGTGGGCACAGGGTTGTTCCAAGGGACACTGACCCCAGCATCACACACAGAAATACCTTCCTTCTGTTCCTTCCCAGTTTAAACTGAAAAGCTATTACTGCTGCCAAGAAATACAGCAGTTTCTTGGCATTTCTAAACCAGCTTTTCAGACTGACTGCAGGACCTGGCATCCTTGCTTCTGCTCCGCCTTGGCTGACATCTACCTTCAAAGCAGCAACTGTTGTCAGCATATCGTCAAATGAATGGGAGGATCAACAAGCTCCTCTGTAGTTCAACATCTGTGGCAGGAACACTCTGGGAAGAGGCAGTGTGGGTATCAGTGAAATATGGAGCTGACAGTCTGGGTGAGGGCTGGAGGGTCTGCGTGGGGCCAGGGAGGTGCCAGGGGGACACAGAGGGGACACAGCAGCTTCTCAGCCCCACCACCCTGGGGCACCAGGCTGTAACCAGTGGCTTCCTGCAGGCTCTGGGGGAGGTTCTGCCCTGCAGCAGGAGCCAGGACAAGTCTCAGGGTGCTCAGCTTGCCTGCCTGCTCAGACCAATTCCCCGTATTCCCCACTGGGTGATCTTGGCTTTGCTTGTGGTCCCATTTTACTGAACGTCTTGCCAGTCACCCAGGATGGAAACAGAGTGCCACATCTAAAAACACTTCACGGAGCTCAATTGAATCACACCATTCTGTGTGATTCTGAATTCTAATGGCTTTTTACTTTTCTAGGGTGGCTTAAAAGAGCCCGCTCTTTCACAAATCTAATTCTCTCTATGTGAACATTTGGATTTCCCCCCACACACAACACCTAATAGAGTAATCAAATAATCTCAGTGAACTTTGTTTCATCCAGCTTTCAGCAGGGAACATACTGCTGCCCTCAAGGGAACCCAGGATATGTATTTATTGGATTTTTTTTTGTTTCAAATCATTATTTAATCAAGATGAGGGGGGAGCAGAAATGAAGCACTCACTCATATTCCAGACTGTAATTCCAAGTGCAATCCCAGACCAAGAGGCAGCGCAGTCTAATAGGTTACAAAAATACAATCACTGCTCTTCTTCCAATTAAACTGCACAGCTCCATTTACTGTGCCACAAACAGCCCCGGGGCGAGAGATGACAATGTTCAAAGTTGTCTCAGCCATGCGGGGACAGCAGAGTGGCACAGCCTCACTCAGAGCTGCAGGATTTCATCCGTGGGCCTTTTTTCTCTTGTTTTGCAACTCACTTCAAAGCAGAGTTAATTTCTCTTTCAGAGGGGCATAACGCCTGCTTTTCTCTCTTTTTCCAGGCACTGTGCTAATGAAAGGAGTGAAACACTTGTGTCGGTGACCCCGGCCGGCATCTGCCAGCGCCGCCGGCGCGGGGCCAGCACCTGCTGGGGCTGCTGGGGCTCTGTGCCTGCCCTGGGGCTCCTCCACCTGCCAGGGCTGGGGGACACGGCCTCACCTCTGCTGAGAGCCTACCCCAGCTGGAAAGCCAACTTTGACTGAGTACAAAACCACAAGTTCTGTAGGAATTCAGTATTTTGGCACACTTACGAGTCCCTGACTCAAGGAGCACTGAGTGGGAAGATCCCCCTTTTTTTGGCTGGATGGAGAGTTCAGGGTGAGGCTTTCTGTACCACAGAGCGGGGAGGCAATGACACAGCTGTCCCTGCAAGCCCTGAGCGTTTGGGTTATTTGGGGCTGGATGGTGACACTGCTGAGCAGCCTGGCTCACCAATACACTGCTGGGGTAAACTCCAGAGAATGCCAAGCAAAAGGTTTGTTTCTTTTCAAGGATCTTTTAAGCCTGCTAGGGTGCTGGCATTGTATCCCCACCTCAGCTTGAGCCAGGCTGGCACTGCTTTGGAGCAAGGGTTTGTCTTCCACCACCTCTTTTTGGTACCTGGTGCACAGCCCAGCCCTTCAATGGATACAGGCAATGATCCTTTCCCTCCAGCTGCTGCTCCCAGCACTGAGCTGTGGATTTGTCACACAATAACCAGGGGTAACCTCAGTCCCCCAGCTGGGAGAGGAAAACAGGAAAAGGAAAAAAAGAGTACAACTTCTATATTTATGGAAGGTTTTGCCTTTCAGCTCTTGAAGGGCCCTGTCTGCTGTCAAAAATGTACTGCCTAGCACTCAAAATAATAGCTTTTCCTATATAAGCCAAAGCCCAGCCTAGAAAACAGCAGCAGCAAGCTGCCATAAGGTTTCCTCAGCCTTCCAGCACACTCTGTCCCAGTCCCTGCACAGCATTTCCCCAATCTACCTTCCTGCAGACACGAGCACAAAGACAAACAGCATCATTTGGGGCCAGCTGTACCCCACTGAGCTTCACTGGAAATCTGGCTCAAGCTTGTGATAATTTGTGGCATCACAAATGAGTTACAGTGAAAGCAAAGGAGCTGGCAAGGAAAGTGTATGCACGGTGCAGTTATCTTCATCAGCAACAACAAAGGCAATTAGATCTGTGCCCTGCAGGTATTTATATTGCACTGCTAAAGGAAAGCAGGGTGGCACAGTCATCCATCTGTGTCGGTATGGAATAAAGTGCCTGCAGCTGGGCAGGGGTATTCTGCACAGAAATAAATGCTGCACATTACCCACAGCCTCTCTGTGCCTGCTGAGGCACAGGCCCACAATCCTGCTCTCCACAGGTGCCTCTTGCTGCACGGGATTAAAGGAGGAGGAGAGGGAGAAGCTTGGAAATTCACTGCCATAAAGAAAAGTAGCAGGGAACTTCGAGGTGTTTCTGCATGTGTACATGCATGTGTGGGTGCATCAGCTTTTGCATAAAGAGGGAAGGAAGCAGCAAGGTAGATGCACAGGCAGGACATTGTTTTGTGTGCTTTATCCCCCAGCAGTTCCAGGCAGACCTAGTTAGAAATTGTGGCTGTTTCATTACAAAGGAATGAAGACAAATAGGGTGGGGAGGATAGCAGAATTTACCACAAAGCACTTCAAATTTTCAGAAGCAAAATAATGTAGAATGAAAAACATCTTGAAAAGCAAAACCTTTGTTTTGGAAGTGCTACAGCATTATCTCATATTTCCCTGTATCTCTGTGTATTTTCCCTGATCCTCCTTGGACAGCCCCTTTTCTATGGAGATATGACAGTGCATCTCCCTAGGTAAGGATGGTTTGGTTTGGAAGCCCATGCCAGATGGAAGGATAGGGAGTGTAACATACCAACTCTCACAGAGGACTGAAACATGGCATTTTTGAATCCTAATTCTGATTTTTTTCACAAAATCTTTTATTCTACAGCTTTTTCTTTTTTTTTTTTTTTTTTTTTTTTTAATGTATGATCAACATATTCTGCAAGAGCACATTTTCATTTCAGGCTGCTCTCAAAGTCTGACAGAACGAAGCTTATTCATAGAACAACCATTTAACTCATGAAAAGGAAAGGCTTCAAAGGGTTGTGTATAGTCATTAATAAATGAGACTAAAGGTTCCCATTCCATTTTTCTCTTGCCAGTTTTGAGTACATGATATTTAATGACCTTATTCAGCAAAATTTCAGGGGCAGCTCTTAACCAGGGGCTTCAATTTGAGCAAGTGCTTAAATGTGCTCTTGAATGGTGTCCCAAGAGAATGTACTTCTTCTGGGGACAGGAGGACAGTAGTGGCTTTCATAAGTCATTATGCCTTTTAGTCATTAAAATATTTGCCTAAGTTATTAACCCTTACTAGAAAGAATACAGGAGTATCCTGATGACTTTTACTTTGCATCCACCCCCTGCATCTGGAACTATCAAGCTCTTGCCTTTCCTTCCCTGCAGCTTTTCCATTTGCTTCACTCATTTACCTCGAGTGAAGCAAAATGGAAAAACAAGTGCAGGATGCTTGAGTTTAGCTCATTTTAAAGCTTTTAAAATTTTAAATGAGAGTTTACTCTTTCTCAGGAAACAGAACAGCTGGCAGTTGGCCTCACAGGACTTAGAAAGCCTGGCTTCCGAGAGAGGAAACCTAGCACTAATTAAAAACTAGGCTTAGGCTCAAAAGCATTTATGAAAAATACGCTGCTTGAACTCAACAACACCCTGGTGACATGATGCAGTCTTTGGCTCACTGTTTTTTTTGGGGAGGGGAGGAGCTCTGAGCTCAGCAACACCCCCAGTTCATGACAATGAGCTTCAATACCTTGTTTTTCTTCCTGTGCGTGTGCGTGCCCACACCAGCGTGTGGTGTGAGGTTCTGCTCTCCAGGCTGCCTTATAAGGCTTTACAAGCAGTGACTCACATGGCCCCACACGCTCTATAACGAGAGCAAATATGCATATCTATAATGTTGAGAGACAGCTTGTGCCTGTCTGTACCCACGTACAATCCCTGGGTATTTTGATCGGCACGCTGTCTGTGTGGGTGAGTGGGTAGAGTCTCTCCTCTTGCTGGCACCATCTCTCTCCTATCTGATGTAGCTCCTGCGTGTGGCTGAGCTATTTCCAACTGATGACTGGGCCTAAAGGAGAAAACAACTTTGGGGCTTGGAGGACTCTAGTCAAAACACCTCTAGCATTACACATCCACACGGTGTGACTATCAGATCCTGCACTACCTCCAGTCCTATGCAGCAATTTCTCTCTCCAGAGTGCCTATCTGATACCAACACCACAGTCAGGCATCACACCTCTGCTTTACTGCTGCCAGGAACAAAGGGGAAGCATGCCGCAGAAAAGGAAGACTGATATCAATCTCTATCTAATATTTCTCTCCATCTCTTGCTCCCTCAATTCATGTATTATATCATCTCTTTCTGTGTATATGGAAAAACATCCCAAGGCACTGAGCCTGATTTTACCCTCAGATGCACATGCAGTTCCCATTAGCATCAATGAGGGCTGCTCATAACTTCCAAATTTGGCCCCTGGGCTTGTCAGTCCAGAGAAACAGTGATCTTAGAAGGATCCTGATAGTCAGAAAACATCCCATGCCAATAATCACCAGCTCATTAAATGTAAATGTTCCTTCTGTATATGTTTGATACCCTTTTTCAGCCTGAAGGACTAAACTTTTGACTTTTGGACGTTAAGACCAGTGAAATAAGTTCACATCCAGCTGAGCAAAGACTGCATAACAAACTCTTCCCTTTAAAATATCGTTTCTGGAGGCCACTTTTTTTTTTTTTTTTTTTTTTTTTTTGTTAAATGTCCTCAATTCATTATTCATAGGCTAAAGACTTTTCAAGTTTTCCCCCTCTCCAGCCCCACCCTTGGTGTGAAAGTGCTGAAGGAAGGAATGACTTTACATACATTGGAAAACAGCACCATGAATTAATAATACAGTTTAACCAAGTTCGTCTAACATCACTATAATTGAGTTATAAAAATTTCATATCAGAGTTCTTGCCCAGATTCCTCTGGCTAGTTCAAGCAAAGAAGGACAGTGTGTAATACTTACTACTTCCTTAGAAGACAGGAAGCTGTAGAGTGGGAGGGTTTGGCTGGCTTTTTGACTGGCCTGAACCTCTGCAGAGGAGCTTCTCTTTGCTGTGATCTTTGAATGGTGCCAGGAGCGCCTTCGCCGTGTTTTACGCCCTTCCTCCCGAGACCTGGCTCTGTGCCTCCAGGAGACAGGGACACCAAAATGTTATTCCTTAGGATTGCACTAGTGCCCTTTCCCAGCTCCACACCAACCCTTTGCAGGTCTGTGCTAGGACTCTGTGTATGGGAGACTGTCCTTCCACATGACTGCTCTGTGGAGTCATGAGGGAGAGAAAAGGGATGTTTTGCTTTACTACTTTAAAAGAAAAATAATAATTTTGCATCCAGGCTTTGGACCTTAACCTCAAATTTCAGCTCCAATGCATGATTTTATGGTGGCTCGAGGCAAGCCATGACCTTCCTGCACCATAGAATGTTCCTATGGTGACACACCTCCAAGAGAAAACACACTCTGCTCTTGTATGAGCACCCCTCCAATTACTGATCGCATTCCTCCCCCCACTGATCTTCAGCTTTTCATAAGAAAATTCCCAGTACTTAGGAGGAGCGAAGTAGGAGAGTGGGGGTGGGCTGTTCAAGTGCTTTCAGAGAACATGAAAAATGAAATTATTATGTGTATAAATGACTTGCTATTGCAGCAATCCTGGGTCTAGCACCAGCATCCACTTAGCCGGCCCCAGGACGCATCTGTCATCCAGAGGAGAGATTTTAATCAGGTCAAAGACAATGACTACAGATTGCCATGGGCAAATATATTTCCATTGCTAAGACCATGTTTAAGGGTTTCCTGGGACATCAGCAGTACAAAACCCTTGGGCTGGGGAAGGGACACTAGACTGGAATCAGCTGTCATGGGCTGAGCATCAGCCGTGGGGATTAGAAGTGACTTTCAGATCAAAAAGCTGCAGCCACTGCTTCCTGAGGCAAAACCCTTCCATGGCCGAGACCACAAACAGCTCAGCCCCCAGCGTGGCACTGCTGCTGCCAGAATGGGAAGTGGCTGTGCACAGAGAGCCTGGGGGTCACACAGGCTGTGGCAGCCACATCCTTGAGCCCAGCAGGCAGTGCTGAGGACCCTGAGCTCGGGAGCAGTGCTGTTACCTGCTCCGGCAGCTGGGGGAGTGGGAGTCGGAGCTCTCTGAGCGAGAGTGGCAGCGCCGATGCCGATGGGATTTCCGGGTGCGCCCACGAGAGCTTTAAGAAGCAGAGAAAGAAAACCAGCATTAGGTTAGCAAGTGGCGGATGCAAGAGCCAGCAGCTGAAGGCTGAGGTCGATAATGTTCAAATCAGAAGGGAGGTATGCCTTTTAAACCGAAGAGATTGGTGTGTGAAACGCGGCACAGAACATCAAGGCACGAGAAATTCTCCATACCTTCATCGCTACAGTGACATCTTCCTGAGATCTCTGCTAGCATTTTACACACAAGCTATTAGAGGTTGGCTCTGTAGCATGCTGGGGGAAGATTTGTGGACAAGCATGTGGGAGTGCAGCAGCCAGCACCAAGACTTTAAAGAGCCATGTGCTTGTCTTTCATCCTGCAGTCTACCCTGTAACAGCCAGGCAGCTGCCCAAGCCCTTCCTGTTGCTGAGCCTTGGGGGAAGCACCATCTCTGTGTGCAGCCCATCACAAAGCTCCAGCCCTCTTCCTAGTCCTTGTTAAAATGCAGGTGCAGAAGGACAAGCTCCAAGTGATAGAGTTCACCCAGCAGCAGCCAGCCTTCCCCGCCCTCTCCAGGTGGGAGCATTTCACCAGTCCTGTGGGCAGTTCTTGTGGATGCTGCACAAAGTACAGCTCTCCTAAGTACAGCCTGCCTCGTGCACAGTTCCTGCTTGAGAGACAGGACCATTCTGACAGGTGCCCAGTCACTGCTGCTGCCTTTTCTGGCAGGGCCTGAGGACAGTCCTCAGCAAACTGTGTGCAGGGGACAGAGGGCTTGCTGCAGTTCCTTTGCACCACCAGGCTGTTCCTCATGGATTACCTGGCCCTGTTACCTAAGGGCTGTAGTTGTCCATGCCAACAGCTGAAGTCCTGGGTGCAGAGAGCAGGGTGACAGGCTAGCTGCCACCTTCTGTGCCCCATCCCTCACATCTTGGTTCACCACAGCAGTTAATTTAGGTCTGGAAGCGTTTCCATCTGCTCAGGCTGGCATGGCTGTGCCAGCAGGCAAAGCTAACTGTGGGTGAGCTGGTGGGAACAGACTGACTTCATGGCCACACTACACAGGCTCTGACAGCACAAATACAACCTGCTTGGACAGCATTTAGCAACTTGCTGGTAGAAAAACTCAGCAAATAATTGCTTGAGAACAGCATCTCCCTTAAGACAAAAGGGCAACCTCCAGGGCAATTCCTTCAACTCTGCTTGGCTGTTTTCTTTGATGCCTTTCACACCCAATGATTCTGTTTTTCTTAAACTTGGCATTTTGGGATCCTCCTTTCTTATCTCCATACAGCTAAAATCAGCAACACCGAACATCTTTCACTCATATGGTGGATTTGTGTGAAAATCCCTGTGTTTGCCCTTCACCCCCAGCACCAGTCCCTCCAATTTGTCTTCCCTTCCTGCAGAAAGGAAGGCTGGTCCTGTGTGTTTTAGATAACCAGTTGCTTGATGCAAAGATAAGTCAAAGCAGTGTGATTATAAAAAATCCTCATGGGATCCATCTGATCCACGCCTGGGAGCAAAAGATTTGCAGAAACTGGGAGTGGCTGAGCTCTGATTTGCCAGCAGAAAAATGAGGCTAAAATGCCTTGGGGCTGGTTTATCCCCCAAGAGCAATTCCAGCAGCTCTGGTTCCCTGAGGTCAGGACACACCAGCAGGACATGGATCTTAGCTTTAACTGCATGGTTAGGCTGGGGAGATGCCTCCTTTTACAGATAACCTAGGAAGCCTCTCTTTTACCTCTGAGGTTTCTAGGTGCAGGGCAGCCCAGCTTGAGGGGAAACTGAGCTGAAACTGTGCCGTTTAATGTGCAGAAGTCTTAGTGAAAAGGAGACTGGCTTTCTGCATGCAATGGAGATGGCCTGTGAGGCAGTATCCCGAGGCCCAGCAAAGCTAATCAGGGGGTCAGTGACCAAGGTTCAGCCCCAGGACTGTTACCTTGCTCTGAAAGCAGGTCAGAAGCCACAAATTGCAGTTCCCAGAAGACAGAGAATGAAGGGGAAAACAGAGGCAGCTTACAGTCCCGAGGAACGGTTCTTCCTTCCAGTCCTGAGGAACCCCATTTCGTACCGTGCCCCTCAATCATGTGCCCGACAGGATTGTGCTCTGCTAACACTCCAGGGCTGAACCTCAGCTCCAGATTTTTGCAACTCCATCCCTTCCAAGCAATCCCTTCTCCTCCCCTTGACCCCATTCAGATCCTTGGCTGTGTTGTACCTCATAGGTAGGTCCTAATGCAACCTCCTAGAGCAGCAAACCAGGAGTTGCTGAGGCCCTTCCCACAAGGGTGTGCCAGCCTGCCCTTTTGGCAGGTCAGTGTTCAGCCTCTCATGCTGCCCCCACCAGAAAAGCTGGAGCCTTTTCTCTGGACTGGGTGGACAAGACTCTGCACATCCGTGCAAGATACACAAAGTTCAGAAAGAAGTGTCACAAAAGAAAGGCAGAGGAAAGCTCTCCAGCCTCTACAAGCCCTTTTCCATTCCAGCAAAACCAGAATTGCTGGTTTTAGCTTCAAAATAATCGTGAGAAATCATTAGAGTTGTGCCACAGGTGTTAGCTCCAGGGGCCCCACCACATCAAGCACTTCCTAGCCCCACACTGTGCAGGCAGGGCAGAGAACTCCATGAACCACTACTTACTGTTTTTTGTGTTTTCTTTCTTCCTTTCTCTTACTTTTGGGGCTTGAAGAACTAAATAAGAAATGGCTAATTAATTCGGAGATTTCTGTTCCGATAAAAAGCTGCACAATCACACAATCAATGTTACAGCTCAGTTGCCCAAGAGCATGCAGTAAAAATGAAAGGGACTCATGGTTGTCACGGCACAGGGGGTCTGAGTGCCTGCTGACAAATCTGCTTCATGGGCTTGGCCAAAACCCTCAAAGGGATCAGCCAACTTGGTGACTTTGCCTTTTTCCATAGAGAAAATGAGTATTTCTTGATAATCCATACACAGATACTGGAATCAGAAGAACTCTTCCAGTCCACACCATGGGAGTCACCAGACCCACATGGAATGGGGGGACCCAAGGGGATTCCACAAAGAAACACAGAAGAAATGTCTTCTGCCTCCAATCAGTGAACATCAGCCTTGAGGAGACCATTAAACTCTTATTTCTAAGGGACCACCCACACTTGCTCAACTCTTACCTGTGCCTTCTCTTCTTTGATGATAACCTGCAAGACACAAATATGTACACTGAATACAGGGTCTCACAAAATTGGAAATTTGAGTCCAAGTCAATGTGTTTAGGCTCAGACTGTGCACTGAGAGAAGACCTCAGGCAGCACCTGGGCAGAATGGTCCTGCCTCTCCTTTAGGCAGCTGGTGAGGGAGCAGCTAAAAAATACTGGTTTGCAATATTTCCCTACAAGTAACTGAGAACATGGTCCTCAGGATAACAAGTCTTTAGAGAGATCAGATACATCCCCTGTCTCTGGTGGGTCTTTTTTCTCTGCTACTGCCTCCAGTTATGCACTGCATGTAGAGGTGGGTCCATTCCCTGGTTTTCTGTATGAAAGACCAAATAGCAGTCAAGGGAAAAATCCTCTCTGTGTAACTCCAGAGCAGCCTCACAGCCAAACCAGCATCATGGCTCTGTCTTGCCTCCTGGAGCACCATTGGGATGACATAGGACACACCTAAATGGCTACCAAGGGTTCAAAGCCAGAGTCTCTGACCCAGGACTTCTATCAGAAGATGGCATCCACAAAAGAGCATAAGAATTCCTCTTTGGGAAGAAAGTCTTTTAGAGAAGTTCCTATATCTTTGTCTCTCCTTCTCCCTTGCTCTTTGGAGATTCAAGCTCAACTTTTCACCCTGATATTCACTTTTGGTAGCTTCTCTCTTTCGTTCAATATATTATAAATACATGAACCTTCTTAGGGAGATGGAATCCACTGTTCTCGTCAAATATTGGTTTAACAGCTGAGAGAAAACAGTGAAATATTTGCAATTTTAAAATTTAATCATGCTCTTTGAATTAAAAATGGACTTCAGAGGGGAAGGTGGAAACAGTCACTGGGGCTGGGAGAGGAAATTGGGATGTGGGTGTGGGGAGTTGGTCTGTGCCGTTTTCTGGTCCTGACACTCTCTGCAGGCTGGGGAGGGCTGGGGACCAGCACAAGCCCTGAGCACTGATCTCACTGGCATTCCAGAGCATGGACACATGTGAATAGGACAGCAAGGACAGCAGGCTGAGGCTCCACAGACCTCTCAGTGATTTGGCTTGTCCACCTCTGTGTCCCCACACCCCAACAGTTGACATTTCTCTGTTTGCACTGGGTGGACACCCCATTCCATGCCCTCCTAGCCCAGAGGGACTCGGACTACGCCTCCTCTTGGCAGTGTTCAGAGACTCGTACCTCTCTGCCCACTGGGACCAACAGCTGCCCAGGCAGCAATGCCTTCCACCCCTTCTCCAAACCCCTAAAAGCCATTGCATCTTCAAAGAAAAAAATACCTGGTTTTTTTTCGCTTCTTGGAGCTTTTCTTCTTCTTCTTCTTCACAGGTGAAGGGCTGTAGGAGGGAGACCTGAGGGGGGACAGAGAGGCATTAGGGACCACAGGGCTACTCACAGCCATGCTGGCCACCCCAACACTCACCCCACCACCACTGGCATCTCCAGGGCAGAGAGTGGCTGGGGGTCCTGGTAGGAGCAGGATGGGCCGAGGGATGAGCCTCAACCCAGCTCTGCTGCCCTGAGGGGAGGGCAAGAAGATGGTGGCTCCTCCCTGGGCTGTGGAATCCCCAGGCCTCACTCCTCCATCTTACACTGACCCTTTTCCCTCATACCCAGCCAAGGGCTGCCCTTCCTGTCCCTCACACTGCCATGGCTCCCTCATACCCAGCCAAGAGCTGCCTTGCTTGGCCCCTCACACCACCATGGCTCCCTCATGATTCTCTTCCCTCACACCCAGCCAAGGGCTGCCCTGCCTGCCTCTCATGCCGCCATGGCTCCCTTGTGACCCTCCTCCTTCACACCCAGCCAAGGGCTGCCCTTCCTGTCCCCTACCACCACCATGGCTCCCTCATGACCCTCTCCCCTCACATCCAGCTAAGGGCTGCCCTGCCTGTCCCCTCACGCTGCCATGGCTCTCTCATGACCCTCTTCCCTCACATCCAGCCAATAGCTGGCCTGTGTGTCCCTCACGCCGCCATGGCTCCCTCATGCCACCATGGCTCCCTCACAGCCAGCCAAGGGCTGCCCTGTCTGTCCCCTCATACCATCATGGCTCCCTCATGATCCCCCTCTCTCACACCCAGCCAAGATCTGCCCTGTCTGTCCCCTCACATCGCCATGGCTCCCTCACACCCAGCCAAGGGCTGCCCTGTCTGTCCCCTCACACCGCCATGGCTCCCTCACCTCCTTCTCTTCTTGCGGCCAGATTTCTTTTTCTTCTTCTTCCCCCGAGCCGGCAGCGGCCGTTCCCCATCGCACGAAGGGCTGAGGATGGAGGACAAGACCCAATAAATATTAAAAATAATAAAAATAAACCCTGAATGGGCTCACACGGGACTCTCTGGCATCGCCACCTCAGGGACATGGGGCAGCAAGGTCAGTGTTCATGGTGGGTGTGGGTGTTGCCTCATTACCCTCTAACGAATTATTTAGTCACAGTTTAAACGAACTGTCTAATAGAGATATAACAAGACAGCTCCACCACAGCAATGCTGATTATCTAAAACATGTTTGCTGAGGTTAACGACTCTAAAACAGATTTATAGGTTTTGTTGCTCTTTGTAAATATGCTTTAAATAATTAATTGGCATTTAATTTGCATACAGTAATTATTGCAACCAGATGTATCTAACTATAATAAAGACTTGACATGTGTTAAGTAGCAATTGATTAGAAATATATATATATTTATTGAGACACTATGGTAATTGAAGGAGATACGCATCTCTTATACAGTTGTTAAACCTTGAAAATAAACCCTCCTGCAAATTAATTTCTTCTTTAAACATATGATGCTGAATCGTGTTATGTTTCAATGAAAAGCAAATACTGTGGTTAATTAATTCAGAGCATTGGGCTGAAAAAAATGACAGATACTCTGTGGCTACTCATTAACTAAAGCAAATGCTTGTAAAGACAGAGGCAGCTGGTGGCATCCCTAAATCAGCCCAAATCAGCCACGTGCATCTCCAAACAGATCCGCAGGTCCCTCTGAATCCCCAAAAGGATCCAGGACCAAGGTTTGTGGGGGCACAGTGAGATCCCCAGGGCCTCTGAAAAATCACTGAGGGTGCTGGGTTTGTGCCTCAGTTTCCCCACTTCTCATCCTGCCCCTGGGAATAGCCAGGAGCAAGGGATGGGTGGAAGCAGCCCCACAGCTGGAGAATGCTGTGAGATCTTCACTACAAAACAGGCTAGAAATTGAGCAGTTTTCTGCAGCAAGAACAAACATTATTGCTAATGAAAGTACTAATGCAGAGCAAACGACACTTTGGGGGGGGACAGTCAGACTCCACCACCCCCCAACACTTGATCATCCAGGGCTTGAATTACCACTGAAATTACATATCATAAAAACTCAATTGCTTAGTGCTTTTAATACACTTTGGGAAAAAAAAATAAAAGCTCTGCAAAATGAAACTGCAGGCTAATGCTTCAGTTGTGAGCTGTGAATAACGAGTGCTTCTGGTGCAGTAAATTCAGTGTGCAAGCATGGCATGGCCCCATGGAGCACCCACATCCTCCTCCTCACTGCTCCTCCCAAGGATTTCACGGATCAGCAGCAGGATGTGGCACACCTTGGTGGCCCTTCCACCTCAATGCAGACAGAAATCTGCATTTTCCAGGATGTCTCATTGTCACTGAGCTCAGACACCTGGCCAAAGACACCCAGGGACACGGCTGGGCACTGCCACAGCCACAGGAGAGCAACATCTGGCCATGCAGCCCCAGGCGCCTTCTGCAGAGCCCTTCTCCCTCTCCCCAGATAACGTCTTTTGTCTTTGATGTGGCAGCTTTCTCCCGTGCACTGATGTGACTTCAATTGTTCCTCCGTGATAATAATCAAAGTCTAATTAAAAGTGTGCTTTAGATTATTGTTCTGGTTGGCCTGAAATCTGAAGATATGAAATGTGCTTTCTTGCTCTTTCTTTCCAGCATCTTTAACTGAGCAGAGAGCCTTTAATCCCAGAGACGGTTGAGCAGGCAGGGCTCTGAGACCCCAGCTGCTTCATTTACAGCGTTTCATTCATTTTTCTCCTCTCAAGTGGTCAGGGACTAACGACAAGCTGATAACGAGGCTGTGTCCTAATGAAGGCAGTGCTGCTGAGCTGATCTAGCATGGGGAGAGGGGAATTGCTCAGGGTGATTCCCAGCAGACCTGGCAGGCAGAGGAGTGCTGGCAGGCCTTGAAAGACTCTGGAGGAGGCTGCAGGAGCAAGCCCTGGAGTGGAAACAAACTGCAGGTTTGTCCCTGCAAACTCACACAGGGATTTCATGCGATTGCACACATTTTCTGTGCACACACACTGAGCCATTGAAGCCACTCCCAGCTCTCACAGACCCCAGAGGGGCTGAGAAAACACCCAGAGACACCTCCCCTGCCACCCCCGCGTGTCCCAGGGTGGCCCTGCTGAAGGCCCTGGCTCCTACATGTGGTGGCCATGGTCCCGTCTGTCCCTCCCCTGCCACCCACCACGTCCCAGGGTGACCCTGCTGATGGCCCTGGCTTGTACCTGTCGTGGCTATGATCCCCTCTGTCCCTCCCCTGCCACCCCCCGTGTCCCAGGGTGGCCTTGCTGATGGCCCTGGCTCGTACCTGCGTGACCTGCGGTGGCCATGGTCCCGTCTGTCCCTCGCCTTGGCACAGCCATTGGTGCTGGCAGGCTCCCTGACCACGCAGCTGCTCAGCTTCTCGGGCCGTCTGTCCTCCGCAGGGTACGGCAGGCAGCTGAGCGTCCCACTGCCGGGGCAAGAGGTGACAAAGAGCCATCAGGAGCTGTGCCCTCAGCTGGGGTCACTCCCCACGTCCTGGGAATCTCCTTTTGCAGGCAGGAGTTGTGCAGCTGGGAAGGAGAGCTGCGGCTTGCTCTCAGCGCTCCCACAGGGCTCTGGAATGCCCCGTTCCCAAGCCAAGCTGCACCCCAGCCCAGGCACGCTGTGCTCATTCTCCAGGCAGAGATGCCATGAGCATCGTGCAGCTGGACAGCACAGGGCCAGATCCAATCCAATGGGAACAAAAACCAGGAGCCAGTCAGGACAGATTTGTCTTCACTGTGGAGTTTAGACCACCAGCTCTGCAGAGACAGCACAGAGTTTGCACTCCGATAGGAAAAAATCCAAAATCCTTTCCCATTTCAAATGTAGTTTTCTCAACCTGCTAATGCCTCAAAAACATCTTGCCACACATCCTCATCCTTGACTGGCAGCAAACTTCCTACAAATAAGGTGCTGGGCTTATGAACACACCTGGTCCTGCTGACAGCTCAACCTTGAGAACCTGGGACAGCCCAGCAGAGTTAAGGGGAACCACCTGGGCCAGGTCAGTGCCTTAAAGAGCCCTGGGAGCTGGCAAGGAGCAGAGCAAAGGCAGGGAAAGCTTGGAGGGAGTGGTTTCTAAGAAACATTGGGGTTTGTGCAAGCTGAAATGGAGAAAAGAAGCTGCTGAATGGAGAAAACAAACCCAAACAAGTCTGCGTGCAGACACTCAGGAGGAAAGTAAATAGGTTTCTAGGCCCCGCAGATATTTATTTCAAAGAATGAAAAGATTAATGAAAAGACATAAACCATCCCCAGCAGGGGTGCTGAAGACGCTGGGGTTTAGTGTCATCCAGAGCATTGTGGAATAGATAGAGCAAATGTGGGCATGTCCAGGCCCAGCCAGGCTGTGGGGTGATACCCAGGGGAGGCTGGGCTCAGCTGGCACTAAAAGTGTCCCCATTTCTTCCCTTTCCCATTTTAAAGCCAATCCCAGGACTGGGTGTGGGTGCCACTTTAGGGTCAGCTCTGAAAGTCCTGTGGCTGTGTCTGTCACCAGGCCTGCCTCCTCTCCTTGGAAAGCAGCACTCTGGAGCCCTCAGGCCATGTGGATCCCAGCAGAGCAGGGGGAGGCTGCTGGGATGTCCCCCTGCCACCCCTGAAGCCACAGTGAAAGATGCTTTGGCTGCAGAGACCACCACAGCCATCACACATGGGCTGTGGAGACAGCAACAAGGGCCAGGGCCAGGTGTGTGCTGCACATCTGGGTGTTAAGTGGGGACAAGAGAGTGGTTAAAGAGCAACGGCACATTAAAAAAGCCCCAGTTAGGCATGGCCAGAGCTTTGCATGCCCCAGGGAACATCCTGCTGCCTGCCTCAGCCATGGATAACGCTCCTTGGAGTTGAGTTGGCACCTGCAGAAGGGTCACCCCTCTCTTCCCACCTGTTTTTTGTCTCTCTACAAGCATCCACTTTCTCTAACAGCCAGCTCCTCCTTGAAGCTCATTTTGTAATGCCTTAACATTTAAGGATATGCACAGCCAAATAAAAGGGACAGGGATCAGTGGGGGAAAGCAGGGTGAAATGTTTCTGGCCCAGAACATGCAGGAGGTCAATAATCCCTCTTGCTTTAAAAAGTCTGTAATAAATCGCCCAGTTGCTTCCCAACATCTCCATTATTTTTAACCATCCATGAAGCTACATGGTTAATCATTTTCTGTGTGCCAGCTAATTGGCTTGTGGCCTTTCCCAAACCCCTTTTAAGAACAGCCTTCCGAGGCTCAATCATTAGGATCCATTAAAAACGTCCCCAAATTAATGACCTGTGCAAAGCCTGAGCTGGATGCACTCCAGCAGCAGAGGCAGGGGGAACCTCCCCAGGCTGGCAGCAGGCTGGAACACCAGTGCCAGGACCCGGGCACAGCAGGTGACATCCTTGTCACCCAGCCTCTAATGGGATTTCCAGGTCCTGGGGTCAAAACTTATTGGCCTCGAGGCAATCAAGGACTCCTGTCCTGCAACGTGCCAGGAGCCATTTCTTCTGGGCTTGGAAGTAATTATTGATGGAAATAATTATTCTCCAATTCCATCAAAGGCTGGCTTCCATTCAACCAAATGTTCTCCTCTGATGGATGCTGAGAGTCACTAATGCTTTAAACTGGCTGGTAATCCCCTGGCGTGGAGCTCCATAGACATTGATTGAAAAAATATATATATATATATAAAAAAAAAATTCTTTTCTTATTGTCTTTTGTGTCTTTCATGACTGATATAAAAGTCATGCAGTTTGGTGTGAATGATCTCTGTGGCCTCAAAGGAGGGATTATCACACCCTCCCTGCTGTTTGTGCCTGCAGCAGAAAAGAAGAAGCCTCTGTGGGTGTTTTTGCTGGAGCTGGCCCAGGGAGAGCAGCGGGGATGCTCGGCAGGATGCTGCTGGGAGCACAGGACTCACTCAGCCCAGGGGCTGTGCCAGGGGAGGCAGGAGGGTGCCCTGCTGGGGGGCAGCATGCTCCAGCACTCCTGGTGAGGCACACAGCCTCTCTCCCCGCTGTTTGGCTGCATGTTTGTCCCTAAGGATGCACTCACTCCTTACTCAGTCAGACCACGACAAGGCAGCTGTCCACCCATCCCACCTGCCCTCCAAGCTTCTCCATTTCCATTTGGCAATTTGATCACTTGGACTTGTTTTTCTCTTCCCTTTCTTTCTCCTGCGCAGAAACCCAGCGTGTCCATCAGACCTGTGCAGAAGCAGCACAGCTGCTCCTGATGGCAGACCCTCCCACAGCAGGGCACCTGTGTGCTGCCTGCCCCCCACTCAGTGCTGAACATGCCCTGTGCAGCCACCCACCACAGCTGGCTCATCCTGTCCCTTCCATCGCAGCAGTCTCTGGTCCAGGAGGGGTTTTTGGGCTCATGGCAAATTTTGCCAATGCTGCAGTGGCTGGAAGAGAAGCAGCAGGCACACGGTGCCCTCAGCACAAGCCTCTCCCAGCCTAGCTTGCCCGCCTCCACACTGTGGTGTCTGTCAGATTTGGGCTCTCACATGTATTCCCTCTCTGTGTTGGCAGCAGAGGGCCATGATCTACTGCCTACCCCAATACAAGTGATGCAGGAAAGGTCACTGCTGGGAAGGAACCCAACATCCCTTATTTGGAGGTGGATGAAACCACCATAAACCACTGTGGTCACATGGAGGAGAAGGGATGGATGGCTCTTTGCTGCTGGCAGTGCCCTGAGGCCAAGCCCACTCTGCCTCCCTTGCCTGGGGAAGGGATGACACCCCCAGTGTGTGGGGATGCCATGGAGAGCAGCTAATGCCTGCCCTTGCCCACGGACAGCTCCTGGCACTGCCCACAGAGGACGGGACAAAGGTACAAAGCATTTGCTGCCTCAGGGAGCAAACTCCCAAACCATGCCCATCCCTCCATCCTGGGCTGCCATGCTGCCTGCCACAGCCAAATGCCATCTCATCAGGCCATGGCATGTGGCACTTGGTGACGCAGGCTGCTCAGGGAGCTGAGCCCAGTGACACCCCCAGCCCGCAGTGACAGCACTCAGGGGGCTTTGCTGTGCACTTGACATTCCCTGGGTGCTGCCATCCGCTGCCCACAGGCTCCCGTGTCCCAGCCCAGCTCCCCAGGCCCTGCAGCTGCCTCCTGCCACAAGCCTTCCATCAATCAGCCTTTCCCCGCAGTAACTCATCTCAAGAGGAGACAAAAGCAGGAAAATTGTCTCCCTGTGACCTTTCAGCTGCCAAACTGTGGCACCAGACCATCTCCCCACTCATTGTGTTGTCCCTCACCTCCACAGGATGGACCCCAGCAGTTCCAGCTGTCAGTGGCCTTGTGCAGCCCCTGTGTCCTTCCCAGCTGCCCTGCAAGCAGGAGTGTAAGCAAACTGGGGCTGGACCATGCTAACCAAGCAGTTTTTGGGGATTTTTTTATCCTTTATTTTCCTTTGCACATGCAGCTGGGTTGGGTGCTGGATGCAGAAGCACTTCAGAGGCCCTGGGCACTGAGTGCACTTGGCAGACCTGCACTGGCAGCACTTCCAAGGTCACAGGATTTGGGATAGCCAATACAGAAACTTTACTACATTCCCTGCTTCAGCCCTGGATGGCTTCATGTTCCCATCATCTCTACACCCCTCAGTGAAAAGGCAGGAGCAGCTTCAGCCAACCAAACCCCCCAAACAAAAAAGGTTAAAACATCTCTGATGAGCCTAAAAGCTGTGAATGTTTCACTGGCATTAAATGATGAAGGATGGACACCTTGCCTGGAACTGGGAACATCAGGATATGGCATCCTGAGGGGAGGCTGGAGAAACTCCTGTGCCTGCAGCTACTTGCACCAGGTCCTGAGTAACATACAAAAAGTGCATGGACAGGTGACAGAATATCCCATCCTTCCTCTCCTTTCCTCACCTGGAGGTTTTGGCTGTGCAAGAGTGGGCAGTGGTGGGTCAGGATCCCTGCTCTCCCACATCCCTGCACTCTCTGCCACAGCCACATCACGTGCGCTCCTGCCCTGGGCTCTAGTGAGGGTGATCTGAGCTGCTCAAAGTGCTTCTAAAATCCACCCTTTGGGCTGAGAAGCTTTTTGGCACCGGCAAAATGAGCCTGTGATTTTCTCTCTCGCTCTCTGGCTTTGCTCATCTGATTGAAAAAGAAAATGCTCAGACCATTCCCTTGTCCCCCGAGAGGGAGGGGACAGAAAAGACTGTCATAAAGACATTTCCCAGCAAAAACTCCAGCAGATGTGTTTATGTAAAGCCCTTTGAAATAAGCACTAAAAATACCTCTTCAAAATTAGGAGATGGGGAATATTGTGAGTGCTTCCCACAAGCACACACACACACACACAAACACCCAAGGCAGGTTCTTTGCCCACCTCATTCAACCCGTTATTATTAGTGCAGCAGGAGCCCTGCAGTTTGTTATTGAAAATTATAATAGCAAATCACCGAGATATTTTCCTTGATTACA